CAGGGGACCAGGATGGCATAATGGTTATTTCACTAGACTCCCACATAGTCGACCGAAGTTCAATGCCTAGAGCCAGCATCTTAAAACTCATGCTGCAGAACCAGCGGGTGGCATAACGGCTGTGTCGCTGGACGCCCATGTAGTCGACTACAGTTAGAGTCTCAGACCTGGTGGCTTACTCTCATGCCAGGAGTGTGTGCGTGTGGTGCCCAAGATCCTACGAGGAGAATGGAGGAGAAGGGATTGTGGCATGGCCATCCCCCCTGGTGGGTGATTGCTTGCTTTCTGTCTCTCTGTCTCTCTCTGTCTTTCTGGCGGGCGCATGCGCCGTATAGTAAAAACCTCTCCAAAAACCAAACAAACAAAAAACTCACACCAGGCACCTGTGAATACGTGCCCAAATTCTCAGGAGAAGAATGGAGGAGAAGGGATTTTAGCGTGACCATTCCATGGGGTAGCGGGGGGGGGGTGATTTCTCACATTCTCTCTCTCTAGTGAGCATATACACCCTTTAAAAAAAAAATCTCCTAAAAAAAAAAAAAATGAATGAGCACTGAATGAATAGAATGTTTCAGGGCTGTGTCATTCTTCAGCAGAGTTGCTAGGAAATAGAAATTTCATGAGCTAATTAAATGAGAGACCTATTAAGTAGAAGTAAGAATACAATTAAAAGGATGAAAAGTACGATAATGTGCCAAATGATTGCCTGCCTAAGTATGTTAACAGGTGAGTAGACTTTAGAACAGAAGCATCAGTTGAAATAAATCGGAAAATGATATGATTAAAATTGAAGTGCAGGAGACTAACAAGTGGCATAGTGGTTGAGGTGCTGGATTCCCAAATGTTCAAACAGAGTTTAAGTCCTGGACCTGGCAGCTTGAAACTCATGCTGGGCATGTGTGTGTGCATGTTCAAAGTCCCAAGAAAAGAATGAAGGAGAAAAGATGGCAGTGTGGGTGACTTCTTGCTTTCTGTCTGCCTCTCCAGCAAACACATGTTCCCCAAAACAAAAAACTCTAAAAAAAAAAAAATTGAAGTACAACTACAAGGAAAATATCAATAAAGTGAACAGTGGCAGAAGTCATAAGTACCAACTGTTAAGTCTAGAATTGAGAAATAGAATATTTGAAACGGAAATCCAACTAGAGAATCTAAATAGTAGATTTGACCTGGCACAAGAATGAGAAACTTGAAGACAGATTTAAAAATAATTATGAACTCCAAAGAACAGAAAGAAACAAGAGCAAGACAAGTACTCTCAGAAGTTGGTGGGACATCTGGGGCCACCAGATGGCAAAGAGTACTTGAATATGGCTGACTGGGGTTTCAGTTCTGGACCTGGTGGCTTGCTTTCTTACTTGCTCTCTTTCTCTCTGGTGAGTGCATGTGTCCTGTAGCAAGTTAAATAATAATAATAATAATAAATATATAAAATTAGATTAAAGTTCTTTTAAAAAAAAAGGTAGGTGGAACATTAAGCCTATTGAAAAATTTTATTAAATAAATTAATTTACATATTATGAAACTCAGCTGCGAGGAGGATAAACACACAGAGGTCCACAATAGACATATTATAAATAAAAATTAGGATAGACAAAGAGAAAATTCTGAAGCATCAAGAGAGTTGAACTGAACAACTAACTCACCATGCACTAAAAAACCCACAAGATTCTCATCAGAAGTAATGAAGGCCAAAAGGCAGCAGCAAACCATTTCAATGTGAAGGAAATAAAGAGAAAAGCTGGAAATAAAGTACCTTATAGCCATCCCAAATACCTTTCACAAATGAAGGTAAAATAAAGACTCTTCTAGATATACAATGACCTGTTTGTATCACAAACTCATTATAAGAAGTATTAAAGGTAGTTTTTTAGGATAAAAACAAATAATCTCTGTCAGTAACTTAAATGTAGGAGGGGAAAATCAAAGAATCTCAGTAAATGTAATTTTAACACTTTATTTTCTATTTTTATTTTTCCAGTGGGCATGTGTAATTGTCAGAGACAGAGAGAGGGTATGAGAGAGAGAGAAAGAGAAAGAAAGAAAGCACCACCTCCCCTCCCCCATGGAGACTGGCCATGACATAATCCCTTCCCCATTTTTCTCTTCTTTCAAGATTTTGGGCATGCATTTACACATGACAGTGTGTTTTTTAAGCCGCTGGGTCCGGGACTCAAGCCAAACTGTCAGCCCTGTGGGATCCAGCTGACTTAACCACAATTTTATAATTAAATTATAAAAAAAGAATAATACATATTTCATTTCCCATCTTTACTATGCTAATTTAGAAGAATCACATATAAAACTATATGTATGATCTGCAAATTTCATAAACAAAATAGAAAACAAAAAATAAATGACAGCTATCAATTCAATTAATATTTATGCAACATATGAATGAATTAAATTGATCAAATGCAGATTATCAGATTGGGTTAATAACATCAGCTTCAGTAAATACACATACTGTCTGTAGAAAACACACTTTGTATTCAAAGATACAAACAAGTTAAAAACGAAGCAATAACCTCATGGACTGAGTTAAGGGAGTCAGACAGATCTCACATGGCTAAACAGGTGGTGAGTCCTGGCCTCAGTAGCTTGAGAGACATGCCAGGTGCTTGTGTGTACACACCCCAAAATCCCTACAGATGAAGAAATGGAGTAGAAGAATTGTAGTATGATCTCGCCCCATTGGGGAGATGCTTTCTTCCTCTCCCTCTCTTTCTGTTTCTCTGTCTCTCACTGGTAAGCACACACACCCTCTGGCAATAAAAAAAAAAAGAAAAAGAAAAAGAAAAAATGTAAAGATATGAAAAAAAAATACCATATGAGTAGCAATAGTGAGAAAGACTGAGTTACGTAATTTTACTATGTAGTGCTAATATTAGAAATATTACAACCTTATCAATGTTATCTTCCATTCTCATACTTTATATAAAATTGTTGAAGTTTTAAAATATTTTATTTATACATGAGGGAGCATGACAAAAAGATCAAGAGATACAGAAAGTAATACCCCAAAGGGTCCACCTGCCACAGTCCATCCCCAGTCTCACTCACCCAGATCATAACCAGGCATCCTAGTGGTTTGTTCTGGGAGATCTCTAGATTGGAACCTTGAACCTTCCCATGTGGGTTAGCCTAGCAGAGGAATCCATGACCATAGTGCCATCATTTGGTCCTAGAAGATTTACTATGTATCAATCCTATTGTTTTCTTCATTTTCCCTTGATTTTTCTATGTACTTTTTTATTCACTTTTCAAAAGTTGCTATTGTTTTTGTTAGAGGGCATATGCACTCTCCACAGAGAGACAGAGATAGAGGAGGAGTAGAAAGCACGTCCTTGGGGAGTGGTCAGGTTATGAGCCTTCCTCCATCATTTCTCTAGCCTGGCAGGGTTATGAGCATACATGCTCCTGTACGCAGCGTGTTTCTAGAGCCACTGGGGCCAAGACTCAAAGCGCAGGATCAATCATGTGGGATCCAGCTGCCATAACAGGCAGGGCACAGACCAGGCTTATGTTTTTATTTTTTAATTTTCATGGCTTTAAATTTCACAATTATTTTTAGTATTTTTATTATAATGTGTTAAATAATATGCACAATTTATGATTATTTTAAAAAACAAAAAGTGACTCATTTATTCAGGAACAGGTAAAATTATGTTCCCTGATTATATTAAATAGGTGTGTAAAAATCTTGTATTAAGTTTTAGGAACTTTACAGACTGAAGTTTTCTGATCTCCCATCTCCATTTATTTGATGATGAAATTTTATGATAATATAATATGTCAGGGGAAATAAAATAGCTGAATTTAGTGTAAAAGCAGGCATTTTTAGTGACTACTTACAGTACTTCATGGGAGCAGATCATCCTTCACCATCTGTAGCCTTTCCCAGTGTCTTTCACTGTTTAACAGGGGCTGAGTAATATGAAAAGATGCTGATAGGGAGACCAGCAGTTAGCGTAATGGCTATGTTGCTGGACTCCCATGTAGTTGACGGTGGTTCGTGTCCCAGACCCAGTGGTTTAAATTCATGCCGGGTGCGTGTACATGCATGCCCAGAATCCTGAGAGCAGAATGGAGGAGAAGGGATTGCGGCGTGGCCATCCTCCCTGGGGGGTGATTTCTCGCTTTCTATCTCTCTGTCTCTCTCTTTCTGGCGAGTGCACACGCCCTATAGCAAAAATCTCTCTCAAAAAAAAAAAAAGATGCTGATAAATGTTTTTAATGGAGCACAGCTGGTGAAAAGTAAACTAGGCAGCTCAACACAGCCTATTCTCACAATAGATTATTGATTCTCAGCTATTTTTCAAAAGGTCTGCTCATTCTGAATATCTGCTTTAATAGAATAAGAAAATAAGAGTAAATGCAATGTGTGTTTACATTTATTTTCCTGAGGATCATTATTTCTAGGTAAAAAGAGGACCGCTAGGCCTGGGACTCAAGCCATGATCAGCCATGTGGGAATCCAGCCATGTCGGCTGATTCCTTAACTCCCATTGCCACCTGCTCACTCCTCCAGGTGGAATTTAAATAGGCTATTTACAGTTTGTTACACATCTTTTTAAAGCAAAAACAAATACTTATTTTACAGTCATACTGCACAGTCTGTCTATACTTGACTTATGTAAAATAGATAAATTTAAAATGGGAAAAGTACAGAGAAGAAATGTTAAAAATACAGATAAATGTTTAAATTCAGAAAAACATTTTAAATGAGCTTTAAAATGACTCTGAACTCTTTGACCATGCCAACTGAATTAAATCCTATTCACGGTTACCTTTCCCTATTGTGTTTTCTTTTATTTCCTGACACTTTTCCCTTATTAAAGTATGTTGTAATTTACTTTTCTACTGTGTTAGCTAGTTAAGCTCTACCATGGCATAAGCATTTGTATGCATTATTACATTGTGTAGACCTGTTATCTAGAATAATGATTTGTATTTATTTGTGTTTTATTTATTATTTTCAGCTATAGATTTCCTATTGATTAGTGCTTGATTGATAATATTTTTTTAGTGAAGCCCTTCAGGACCTGTTTCACCTGCTGGTTCCTTAAGGTATAAATAAAAGGATTCAACATGGGAACAACTGAGCTGTACAGTACTGCTACAGCTTTGCTCAGAGCCACACCTTCTTTGGTAGATGTTTTTACATAAATAAAAATACAACTCCCATAAGAAATGGATACTACAATTGCATGGGAGGAACAAGTAGAAAAGGCCTTTTTCCTTTGCTGGGCTGAGGGGATCTTCAGAATTGTTCTAAGGATGAGTGTGTAAGAGAGAATCACCAAGGCCAAAGTTAGTATGAGTGTGAATATTGCTAAGAAAAATGCCATAAGCTGTAGAATCTCTGTGTCTGTGCAAGCAATCAGCAGCAAAGGAGAAGAATCACAGGTGAAGTGGTCAATGATGTTGGAGTCACAGAAATCCAGCTGGAGGCCCATAATCACGGGAGGGAAAATAACAAGGAAACCAGC